AGTACACATTGGTAAAAATGCAGATGTAAATAAAAGGAACTTCAGTCATAAGGACCATTAATCCTGTTGCACGTATTGAATGGATGTGATACTGTATATGAAATCTGTTCTTCAACTTCATGATTCTGTAATTTGATTGTTTATGTATTATTCTGCATCCTTTCGTTAATAAATCTGGTTTAAATTCTTTTATGTGACATTTTAATGTTCTTCAACATCACAGTTTCAATGTTAAAGTTCAAAAGAGGAGATGTCAAAGACAGCAACCATAGTTGGAAGTGCTGCTTTTGTGATATTAGTCATTGGATTCTTTTGGTTCTGCAAGTCACAGTCCAAGAACTTGTCTAATAGGAATTCCGAGACAGGTTCCTCAGATCCTTCTGAGTAGGCATGGTTCATTGAACAGAAATTCATGAATAATGTCACAATTTTTTTACTGTTGGATATTGAATGATTCCTGCCTCAAAATTGCGGTGGAGTGGAACAGAGAGGCTGGACAAAGTTCATCTTATGGTGAGTTTTTATTTGCACTACATTGCCCGCAACAGTTCACAATGGAAGAGTTGGAGCAAGCTACAAGAAAATTCAATGGAAGTAACCTTATTGGATATGGAAGCTTTAGTCAAGTATATAAAGGTTTGCTTCGCTATACTATTGTAGCCATCAAAAGGCAACCAGGTGCTCAGGTCCAACCCCAGAACTTGTTTCTGACGTATCTATGTTATGTCTAATTAGGAATTCTTTTCCTTTCCATCATTTCTCCTACTTTTGATATGGGGGTCAGTTCATTCTGTAGAATAATGATAGGATCAATTTGATAAAGATGCCAAACATTTAAGTACTTTTCTCTAGCTATAGAAATTTGAAAACAGAAAGAAAGTAACATGTTAATTTGACAAACAGGTAACCTATCTGTTCAATATTTGACATCCAAACTTAGTTTCTCTTCTAGGCTACTGTCAAGGAAGTGGATCACAAATAGTTTATGAGTATTTACCAAATGGCAGCATTTGCAATCACCTATATAGTATGAATCCTTTAACAAATTTGGTTTTTTCTGCATGGTTGTAAATGCAAAGTTTATATATCCATCCATTGTTTTTCAGATACTGGACTAGACTCATCAACTAGACTAGAGTTCAAGCAGAGGCTAACCATAGCTCTAGGGGCAGCTAAAGTTAAATCTAGAAGAATCTGATGAGGGAAATGCTAATTTTCATTGGGGTTAAGAGAAATTCTGTCTACTTGGTGCAGGTCTATGCCAACTGCACAGCCTAAAGCCTCCTTTGGTACATAGAAACTTCCAAACGGCCAATGTCCTAGTTGATGAGAACTTTATTGCTAAGGTTGTAGATGCTGGAGTGTAAAGGATACTTGAAAAGATAGAAGAAGAAGATCCATCTTGCACAACTACTGTTGATGTTTTACAAGATCTAGAGTAAAGACTGATTTTTTTCTAATTTTATTTGGTTTGTACTTTGAAAAGTATTAATCCTTCACCTATATCAAGCTGAGACTTTGTCTGAATGTCAGGGTAGGAGCATCAGGGAGCTTTAAATCAGTATGAACATATGCTTTGATCCTTCAAAAGTAACAAAAACTACATAGAAATTGAAAACACTGTGTCAGATACCTGATCATGAGACTATGAAGCTACACCATAGATCAGCTCTAATTATTTGTGAAAAAAAAAAAGAAAAAAAAAAACAAGAAAGAGAGAAGAGAAATGTTCCTTTAAGTAAAAGGAAATAACTAAATAGAACAGTTGGTTTATTCTCTGCTGATAAAGAAAAGCCTTTGATTTAGATTCTGCAACCAAACACAGGACTGGGGATTCTGAATTCTGTTTGTACGTTGTACTAAATCATTAGAGGGGAAAAAAAAAAGGCCAATTTCTCCAATCACTAGAATTCATCAAAAATCGTTTCATACATAAGTAAAGAGTGTCTGAATTCTGAAGCAAGATCAACTTAGAAAATAAGGAAACACAATTCAAAGGTGTAAATTTTCCTATTTTCCAGATTGTATGCCTTAACCCCACAAAGATTGTGAGATTGTCAGCCCCCTCATTGTCCCGTGAGAAGATCTGCCACTATAGACGGGGGTGGTCCATGGAGATTGTTCATTTACTCTGCTAAAAAGTAAATTCCCCTTGCTTCAGCTCAAATTAAAATTATACTCTGGTCGAGCTTTATGTTCTAAGTTCTAACCAAGTTCAAATTCCAAATTCAAAAGTAAGCTTGTTTAAGAAAATGAGTTCAATTAACTTATTGAATTCAAGCATGTCAAATATAATAATACACAATGTTTATGAGCAAGAATGTGACTATACATGGTAAAGTAGTTAGAATAGAAACCCAGGTCATCGGATTCCAACCAAGCCAATTACATTTGAGTATAGTGATAGTGACGGCCATATAAATGTATTAGGCACTATAAAAAATATAGATAGCATATAACATAGAATTTAGGTGGAAAACCTTCCACTGTGGAGGGGAAAAACACAGGACTAAAACCGCAAGAAAATCCACTATTAAATTGAATAGTACAATGACTGTGTCTCAAGTTTTGCCAAACACAAAACATAGAAAAAATTGGAACAATAATAAAAAGATACACCTCTCATTTAAGAGAACATTGTACAATGACTCTCTATGGTCAAAGTTCCTTTAGAACACCCTAAAGAGAAACCTCTAGCCGCAGTAATCCTTGTATGGCCTTCCCTGATACTTTAAGTGGGCTAAGATGACTGCATAATAACCAATTGAAATATTTTGTGTCAAAGTGTATGCAAATGATTGTTAACTCCGTATCACAGATAGAAATTATCTTTGATATAATAGTAAAACATAAACATATAAGCTGATATACTGACTGATATAACTCTGCTTCACAACATGTTTTGTCTAGGAATCTAAAGTAAAATGGAACTTAGCTCCAATTGAAATGGATAGTTTCAAATAATACCAAGGTAATTGCAAATAACACAACTATAATTCACAAAATTAATTACCTGAAGGTAGAGTCTTGGTTCTTGTTGCTGGAGTTCATTTCTGAATTCTGTAAATCCTCTTTCCTATCCACCTACATCGAGTAAAAGAAATGGAATAAGATTAAAAAGATCAAGAAATCTTCTACTTAATATTTAAAAACATGAAATTAAATAATTTTCATGTGATAACATGATGTTCATATTGATTGATAAATTGGCAGTACTGATAGAATGAGCAGAGAATTAGTGTTGGAAATTCATAAATTACAGTGTGTGGAGTTATGAGAAAAAATAGGAGTTGGGATTTCAGAGATGAGACATACCATTTGCCACTCAAAAACCTGAATCTTGTGATTATATGAACTGTTTATTCATGTAGATGGTTCGAAAGTGAAAAATCTTGTACAACTCGAGACCACTCTCCTTGCCACATCATATCTCTAACTCTCCGCATTTCAAAATCTGAAGGAAATTCAATTTGGAGAGGCATCGAATGGCTTCTGCAAAAGGGAGATGTTTCAGATGCTTGCAATGTGTAATCGTTAGATTTTGAAGAAATGACAAATTTCCCAACCACTCTGGCAAAGCTTTTACTCCATGGAAACCAGAAAGGGACACATCTCATTAAGAGAACATTGTACAAATGTACAGTGATTCTCTGAAAGACCAAAGTACCTTAAGAACAAACCAAAGAGAACCCTCTTAAATTTTCTTTTGCTGCACTAATCCTGGTATGTCCTTCTCTTCAAGCATGGAGTTAAAATTACTGCATAATAGCCAATTCAAATATTTTGTGTCAAAGTGGATACAAATGATTGTTAACTTCTAGATCAGGGCTGGAAATTATCTTTGAGGCTGACCTACCTACTATTCAAGCAGATTGCATCCAAGACAATGTTACAAATATCCACCATGGACCCTGACTGCATGGAAGACTTTTACCATATGAGTAGGCAAGTAATCTTCATTGCACCAGTTGTCTTAATAAGTTTCTCAAAATCAAACACAAACAAATTCTTCTCTAAAGGTTTTGTATAAAAAATCATTCAACTGACTAATCAATATCTCTCTTGTATGGAAGAAATAGGAAACTAGCGAGCAGTCATATACAAGAAATCAAATCTGTACATACAATGCAGCTGATGTTGAGGAATTGAAAGGACATATGCCTTTAAAAAAAATTATAACTTGTACAAAATTCGGCTCAATTTCTTACCTGCAATAGTTTTTCTTCTATGAACACAATAGAGATACAAGATATGTTTCCAATTGACCAAAATTGAGCACCTCCAAGAACATCTTGTATTATCAAAAACATTTCAAAAGAAGCAAGTTTTACTGTAAGACCTCACTCAAATTCAAATGGTAATTAAGAGTTAAAAAATCTAGAAAGCATACCAGAATGAGTTTCCCATGGTGAAGCTACATTTCTACGATTCGTGAGCCATTGCCTAACTTATTGGATAAGGATCATCTTTTACAACTTTCCACTTCACAACCAAAAACGAAATTTCCCTGTGCTGTTACTGTAATGCAACTCTCTGCTTCACAACAATATGCTTTGCAATGAGAAAGAATCTAACTAGTATGGATCTTAGCTTGATGTGCAACAGATATTTTTTAAATAATACTGACATAATTGCAAAGAACACAACTATAATTCATAAAATTAGTTAAATTACCAGAAGCTAGAAGCTAATAGCTTCTTGTTGTAGGAGTTCATTTCTGAATTCTAGAAATCCTCCTTCCAATCAACCGATTATTTATTCTTCAGCTACACATTAAGTAAAAGAAATGGAATAAGGTAAAAAAAAAATGTAGACAGATAAAGGAAACTTCAAATTAATATGTAAAAACCTGAAGTTAAAATAATTTTCATGTCAGAAACATTGAGTTCATATTAATTGATAAATTGACAGTACTGATAGAATGAGGAGAGAATTAGTTGTTGGAATTCATAAATTTCAAAATGTGTAATTACAAGAAAAAAAAAAAAGGAGTTGGGGTTCCAGACATGAGACATACCATTTGCCTCTCAGAAACTTGAATCTTGTGATTATATGTCCTCTCCATTTATTCTGATGGTTGGA